ATTTTTATTATTTTTATTATTTTTATTATTTTTATTATAAATCTAAATAATTAGAACTATTTTTATTATAAATCTAAATAATTAGAACTATTTTTAAATTTAAATAATTAGAATAGATTTTAAGTTTTAATAATTAGTATTAATTATAAATTTAAATAATTAAAGTCTATTTTTAAACTCAAATAATTAAAGCAAATTTTGAATTCTAATAATTAGAATTTATTTTTATACTTAAATAAATATAATTTATTTTTAAGCTTAAATAATTAGAGCTAATTATAAGTTCTAATAATTAAAACAGATTTTAAATCCTAATAATTAGAATAGATTTATTAGAATAGAATTATTAGAATAGAATTATTAGAATAGAATTATTTACTCAGATAAATTATCTAGAATAGAATTATTAGGAAAGAATTATTAGAATGAGGAATTATTAGAAATAGAATTATTAGCAAATGGAGAATTAGATAGAGATTAATTATAAGTTGCTAATAATTAAGGCCTAATTATAAGCCTCAATAATTAGAGTCTAATTATAAGTTCTAATAATTAAGGCTAATTATATAGAGCCTCTAATATAATCTAGGAACTTAATTTTAGAATTAATTTAAGCCTAAATTATTAGAGCTAATTATAAGTTCTAATAATTGAGGCTAATTATAAGTTTCTAATAATTAGAGCTAATTATAAATCCCAATAATTGGGGCTAATTATGAGCTCTAATAATTAGAGCTAATTATAAATCCCAATAATTGGGGCTAATTATGAGCTTCTAATAATTAGAATTAATTTTAAGCCCTAATAATTAGAGCTAATTATAAGTTCTAATAATTGAGGCTAATTATAAGTTCTAATAATTAGAGCTAATTATAAATCCCAATAATTGGGGCTAATTATGAGCCCCAATAATTGAAGCAGGTTTTGAGCCCTAATAATTGGGGTTGATTTTGAGCCCTAATAATTGGGGCTAATTATAAACCCAAATAATTGGGGCAGATTTTCAGCCCTAATAATTGGTGTAAACTTTTGGTGCGGTTCCTTATGCAGTTCCTTAGCCAGGGAGGTGCCCTTACGGGGCGGGGACGGTATGTAAGGAACTGGCCCCGTAAGGGGGTAAGCTGACTAATCCCGCATGTCTGTGGTGCGCCACTAGTTTTAAGGTTATTTCAGCAAAGTCTCAGAGCTCCTCGTAGGTCTTCTCTCGAATCATCTATTTTCCCTTTTCCGTGAATCCTTTGTGTCTTATCACTGGGGACTTACAGCATGCCAGAATCAACTCATCCCGCCACCACCTTAGTGGAAGGCGCATCCGTCGAGAGTCACGAGCAGCCCTCGAAACCGTTTTTCACACCGCCCACCTACACCATGAAGGAAATCCACGACGCCATCCCACCTCACTGTTTCCAACGAAACACGCTCCTCTCATTCTTCTACATCCTCCGAGACTTCCTCTTCATCGGCATACTCTTCGGCCTTGCCACGCAGATTCCGTTCCTGCCGACCCATCCTCTCCGCGTCAGCGCATGGGTAGCATATTCAATAATCCAAGGCCTCCTCTTCACAGGCGTCTGGGAATTGGCCCACGAGTGCGGGCACGGCGCCCTCTCACCCTCCAAAGCATTCAACAACACCGCGGGGCTTTTCATCCACTCGCTGCTGCTGGTCCCCTACCACTCATGGCGCTTCACGCACTCCACGCACCACAAATCCACAAATAACATCGAGCGGGACGTGGCCTTCGTCCCTGACACGAAAGACGTCTGGCTTGCTGCCCGCGAGGCCCGCGCCCCAGAATTCCTGTTTACGTACTGGGATCTGATCGAAGACATGCCTTTGGTCAACCTCCTGATCCTCATTGGACACCAACTTATCGCCTGGCCGCTCTACCTCATCCTGAACAACTTCGCGCTGCCGCGGATGCGCGCGGTCGAGTGGTGGAAGAGGAGCCACTTCTATTTCGGTGGCGATGGACCGAACTTCAAGCCGGAGAACAGGGATGATATCATTCTGAGCGATCTTGGCGTCGGGCTCGTGGGTGCTGTGTTGTGGGCCGCGTGCCGTTATTTCGGGGCGAGCAATGTCTTCTTATTCTATGGTGCGCCGTGGCTGTGGACTAACCACTGGATATGTGCGTTCTTTGCCCTCCCTCCTTACGGTCCCCCACACCATATTTCGCCGTCTCTCCCATCACGATGCAGGTTTCCGAAGTTTGGAAGGCCATCGAGTCCCAGTCCCCCAAGATCCAAAATTTGGCGTCCCTTCGAAGTGACGAAAATAGGCTGACTCAAAATCCCCTTCTAGTAACAATCACCTTCCTCCAACACACCGACCCGACACTCCCCTACTACCCCACCAAATCCTGGACCTTCCTGCGCGGCGCAGCATCAGCCGTCGACCGGGACTTCGGGTTCATCGGGCACGTGCTCTTCCACGGCGTGATCGAGTACCACGTGCTGCACCACCACGCGTCACGCATCCCCTTCTACCACGCGCGCGAAGCTTCCCAAGCGATCAAGAGAGTAATGGGCAGCCATTATAAAAGTGATACCGAAACGCCGTTTCTGTGGGCGTTTTGGAAGAATTATAATAGGTGTAGGTATGTGGAGGAGAAGGATGTGGGGAGTGAGGTGTATTTCTTTGCGGAGAAGGTGGAGAAGACGAGATGAGTGGGTGGGTGAATAAATGTCTATGCTTGCTTAGAAAGCGAGGAGTTGGCAATTAGATGGTGTGGGGATTTGTTGCAGCAAATAGGTCCGGCATTTTGAGCGGTGAGGGATAGAGGCGTAAGTCATTGCATTGTCTTTGGACGGGTGGTAAGATATCTTTGTAATGAATCATGGATGTAATCTAAGATCACAGAACCGGTGATGCAAAACGGGTTCTTGTGAATTCGATGTCTTCTAAAATCATGAGATCCATATCTAGCAGTTCAAAGTTCTATCACTAGACCTTATTCGCAAAAGGAGACGCCTCGAACAGCTTGGTTGGTAGGAGGAATGAAATTCTGAGATCTCAGCCAAATCGACTTGGCCTGGGGGGTATAAAGCCATGCGGACCCGTCCTCCCCTTCCGATGTCCCTCGTTCGTCCAATGACCCAATCTCTCTCCACTCATATGGGCTTCTCGCATCCAATTCTATTCAGTAACTCCTTACTATTTTCCGTGACCCCAAGTCTCCGCCTTCCACTCGTGACCGAGACTCTAGGTTTCTGGGTCGGCAACTGCTTTTTCGACAGCCCAACGCTCATGCTCTCCATTTCGTCACCACCTCCTACACAGACATTCAAGTCGGTGACATTCATCTGCCGTCTCCCCTCGGCTGCTTCTCGGCCATCAACCTCCTCCTCATCTTCATCATCACTCCGAACATCTTCCACCTTCCCACCGACCACCATGCCGGCAATGAGCTTCACAATCATACCGAACCATATCATACTCAAAGTCTGCAGCGAAAGTAACATACCGAGAAATATGTACTTCACTTCCTGATTCAAGCAGATGACTCCGTCCAGGTTCTGAAACGGCCACAGGAGATGGGCAAAGGTATCGGGGTGCGCAGGCATATCCGGAATGAGCTCGCTGGTCGCGCCGTTGTAACAACCAAACAGCATAGTTCTGGGTCCCGGAACATCGACCCAGATATCGTAGCAAAGCATGAGGTACATGACATGGCGCGCTATAAACCAAGCCACAACAAAGACGCCAAAGGCTATGTTGCAGGCGGTCTCATGGCGGAGGTAGCGGAGGATTTTGGCGATCTGCCAGACGGTACCAAGACATTAGAGTTTGCGCTAGATATGGGGAAAGCTCGAAGCTAGCAATTCTTACCGGTAACAACAAGTCTACGACATCCATGAGGCACAGAACCACGTTTGCGGCCCGCGTGTAGCGGTACACGTAGGTGATGGAAATCAGTGTGCAGGTGATGATGTGGTGGGTGAGCATTTGTGCGTGATCTTTCCTGCGCTTTTCGATGTGGATAACGAGTATTTGCTGGATCCAGAATGCCAATTGTGCAAGATAGTACCATTTAAACAGTCCGGACATCTCTCGCGCTGGCCAGGCAGTCCAGATTTCGGCATTGTTGAGCCAGTAAACGGAGTTATACCAGAGGTACTGTAGTTCTCGGGGTCAGCATTCATTCTGCCTCCAAGCTTGTGCAGGTAGCTATAAATGGATCCAGAAACATACCATGCCCAAAGTCCAGAAGTAGCCATAATATAGCACAAGCCAGCCTTGCTCAGCAAAGCGCAGATGATTCTTGGGGGCAACGCCTAAAGGACCAGCAAGAGGTTGCAGGATGTGCTCAATTGAGAAGGCACGAAGAGCAGTGAAGGTGACAACCCATGCGAACACGAAATATACATCGTCGAGACCTTGGGTGTAGGTGTGCTCCGCATTTGAGGGGTATGAAAGTTGCAGGAATTTTCGCGTGTAAATTCGTGATTGTGGGGAAAAGGCGTGAAGGGCGATCACGAAAAGCATCAGCGACGACGAGAGCGCTGGAGAGTTCACAGGTCAATTGGAGTTTTGAGCAATCAATTGGGAGGAGCGACCTACGGATTTGATATTTCAGGACCCAGTCGAGGAAGTGTCGTGATGGAGCAGGAGCTTGACGTTTCATGGAGCCTTCTGTGTGTGTCTTTTGCACAGGCTCCTTCACAGCACCATTCGCCGTCGGACGAGAAGACCCTGGCTCTGCCATGGCAATTGCGCTCTCGGCGTTTGCGAACGAATGTACGAACAGAGGCGCCGCGTGAAAGGGGTCGAGGAGGGAGGGCAACGGGGAAACGAGAGTGGGATGCCCACGATCTTGGGGTGGGAAGCAAGAAGGGAATGGGCAGACAAGAACAGGAACAGGAACAGGCGGTGAAAAGATTCAAGCGACTGCTGCCCCTGTCGGCGCAGTGGCCCCCATCAGGGGTTTTAATCACGTGATTAACGGACATGACCTCGCGATTGGCTGCTGTGTTCAGCTATGGATAACACTGCGGCCACGAAAACCAGGCCTCTTGCAAGACCTGGACATTTTGCACACATCTACGAAACGACACTCAGCACTCAGGGTCGTCCGAGCACAATCAAGCTATTCCTCCATTGAGACCGACCGAGAGCAGCCAGCGACAATGTCGACTTCTATTCTAGCCAGCTTGGCGCCGTCAACTTCAGCGCTCGTCAACGTCGGAGCGGCCATTTTCCTGATCGCCGTCGCGCTCTTTGGCATCTCATATCATGAAGCCCTCACGTCTTGTGAGTGCCCGATTGCTTGTATTGCGGAGCGCGCCTGCCTGCCTTTGTTTACGTCTGCTGATGTGTGGGTCTCTTAGCACGAAGCACCAAGTCTCCGCGAAAAGCGCGTGGTAGAGAACTCTCAGGCACATCAAGCTGTGGGTAGCTGCGTATACCCAAACTTTAGCACGATTCTCTTTGCTGACACTACAAGTCCGAGTAGTTCAATCACAAACTCCACACGCCTCAGGGACATCGACAGAGCAGAAGCCGCGGTCTGTAAAGTCTCCGATGTTAGATCTCCACATAAGGTGACGGAAATTTGCTTTTCGTATCTTGGATTCGTTACGTTCACGGCACACCCAGATAGGATCTGGTAATCGGTGATTTCGGAGAGGAATACTGGAATGTGGAGGAGGGGAGCCCGGAAAGAAGAATGCCAGGGAGTGGGTATGGCTTCAGCTGAGAAATGGCTGGGCATTTAAGTTCAGCAATGTAAAAGATTCAACTCAAGATCAAACATTGGAGTTCCTTGACAGAGAGTGAATTGTGATCTCAGAAACCTGGGAAATTGTGAGACAATCCGCTGGCCAAAAGCCTGAGATAATGCTTTGGCAAAGAAGGCGCGTCATGATACCAACTGGAACGTCTGCCCTGTTACTAGGAAAGCACAGAACGGCTCACTCAGGAAAATACACGACCAATGTCCCACCCCGCGCGGCAGTTTGGGAGGTGTGACTTTTGCTTGGTCATTGGGTTCGGCTTCTGCTGAGCCTCAGATGCACGTTGCTGTTCCAACAAACCAGCGCCAGGGTCAATTGGCGGGTTCTGGGCACAATTCTCTAAGTGGTCGCAGCTTCCAACGACGTCTATTAAGGTTTCGTTTAGCTGTGAAGATTGTACCGGCGGCGGACGCTCCCGGACGCGGCCACCAAGTACTAAGTAAATCTTAGATAAACATCAGGCAGTTGCTCCCCCGCGCAACGCTCTATGGAGTCTATTATCCTTGTGGTACCAGTGGTGTCGGCCTAACTCCCAAATCCCAGATCCCAAGTCCCAGATCCCAAATCCCAAATTGCATATATTTGAAATGTCACGTGGAGGCGCGCAGCCAGCAGCCTTCACCGCTCGCTAGTACCAGCGTGACGTCTTGGCGTTCCTGCCCCACTTCCGGGATATCTCTGGCCGGGTCGCGCTCGAAGCGCTTGAAAGTCTGCAGGATCCTGATGATTGCATATGAGGCCTCGAGGAGGGCAAACTCCTCTGCAACCGGTAAGCTACGGATAGACAGACACGCACACCCACACGTTCACGCACGAAGAAGAAGACGAAGAAGAGGAAGACGAAGAAGAAGAAGAAGAAGAAGAAGAAGAAGAAGAAGAAGAAGCAGAAGGAGAAGAAGTCTTACGCCCAATACACACCCGTGGCCCGCCATTGAAAGGCAGGTATCCCCACCCGATGCCCTTGAGGTTCACCTCGTTGTCGACATTGGGGTCCCAGCGCTCGGGACGGAACGCTTCGGCGTCGCTCCCATACAGCTCCTTGCGACGGTGCATGATGTATACGGCGTAGCCGATGGGGGCCCCTTTCTTAACGAAGACAGGTGCTTTGCCGTCTGCGCCCCCGCCAGTAGGCAGGACGGTTGTCTTCGTTGCGGCGCGCGAATTCAGCGGCACGGAAGGGTAGAGCCGAAGAACTGTTTGCAGCGCATTCGCATTAGCATTAGCATTAGCATTAGCAGTGCCCAGTGGATGCAGCAAGAGGGACAAAGCACGAGGCACGAGGCACGAGGCGCGCTGGGAAACCGACCTTCCTTTAAGACATACGACAGGTAGAGCATCTTTTTCATGTCAGTCCGATCCGGGTGTCGCGCGTCCTCCCCCACCCCCACGACAGATTCGATCTCGTCTTGAAGCTTCGCCATCACTTTCTCGTGCGATACCAGCAATCGCATCGTCCATGTCAGCATGCAGGCCGTTGTGTCCCTCCCCGCAAGCAAAATGTTCAGCAACGCATCGCGCAGTGCCTTGGGATCCCTGGTCTCCTTCATCATGCTTCCCAGGAAGCCGTAGTCCGTCGGCTTCGTCGACCTCTCATCCGCTTCCTTGCTCGAGTTGGCAAGCGCTTCTTTAATCTCCCCATCAATCCACCGATGCACTGTCGCGTTGGAATCTCGGAACTCCTTGGTGTTCAGCAACCAATGTAACGGCCCCAATCTCCCCCGATGCGCAAGGTAATTCTGCGAAACCCGAAAGCTGTCTCCAAAAGCTTCAGCTTCTTCATTATTATCCGCGAGCGATCTTATCGACCTTCCGAAGAGCAGATACGTCGTGGTATCGAGTGTAAAGCGGAAGAATAGCGGCTGGAAATCGACGACCTTCCCATCGGGGATGCATTTGAGGAGCGCTTCGGCAGATTCTTGCACTTCGACGAAATTGTCGAATCGTTTAGATTGGAAGAGGGGCCGCAGCATGTCGCGCGAGTGCTTCCAGTCGTCGCCATCTTGGGTGAATATTCCGGGCCCCATGAGGGGTCGCCAGACATCAGGACGGTCGCCCATTCCAAAATCTTCATTAAGTTGCCTGATTAGTAGGGTCTTTCACGAGAAAAGGAGAGGCGCAGGCAGTAGACGCACTATTAAATTGTGTGCCCAAAACCGCTTCGATGTTCTTGGGATCGACTGTATCAATCCCACTCAGCCCCAAAAGCTTCTGTTCGAATGTGGGCGGCATGGGCGCGACTAAATTACTGAAAAAGCGCAGGATGCGCCCTTCCATGGCTTGACGGTACGCTTCGTATAGGAGGTCGAGCGCGAGAGGCCATTTGTACGGTAGCGTTTTGAGGGGCTGGCAATTGTGTTGGCGGATGTACAACGAGTCTGCCTTCGAGGGGTTAACAACAAGTATGCACTTTCCGAGGACGCCTCACTTTTTGAGCTTGATAGCGGCGGAGGAATAGATAAGCGATGAGCAGTAAGAGCGACGGCCCTAGAATGCTTTTGGGAGTGATCCCGTCCATGTTTCCTGCGAACCGGACGTGGAGTTGGTAGTAATTGCGAGGTGTGAAGGCGACTGACTGCGAGGAGATGAGAAGCTTGTCAGCAGCCACGTTCGCCAAAAAGTCGCGGAGCCTCTCGGCGCGGGGTGAATCATTGAATCTTGTACTCCAACGTCAGCCAGGATAATTGCGTGTTGTTAGCTGCCTGTTTCATCGCAATGTTGCAAGCAGAGGGGCTGGCGGCGGGGCGGCAGGAACATCGAATCAGAAGGGATTCGTTCACACCCATGGACCCATCCGGCGACGGGGAGGCCTTTGAGGAGGGTGGGGGCGGCCGGAGTGAGTGGCATTGCGAGGACACTTCGGCCTCATAGTCAGCTTTGTTGAGCTGCAATGTAACCTGAAGATCCTGCACTCGTGCCCAGAAGATATCGAAACTTCGAAACAAGAGGATCGCTGCAAGCCATGACACGACTGCACTCGTGTCCAGAAGGGTGTGGTCGAGAAGATTCCAGCCTCTGCTTAAACTCAATTGGTAAGACCCCCGGGGAACTGCAGCTGCAGGTGCAGGTGCAGGTGTCGCTTCAGCCCCTCTGTACTTCCCCTCTATTTAGCTAAGGTTAACTGGGCCCCCGCGCATGGGTGGGAATCGGAAATCAACTTCCGGATACGAACGGACCCCCGTGGTCAAAAGTGAGTATCCTTCCGATAGCGACGCCTGCAGCTACAGCTACAGCTACGACAAAGACAGCAGGCCACAAAGAATAATCAACATACTCACTACAGCCGGCATGCGCTATGGCGGATCCTCTTTCTATTATCGCTGGAACTGTTGGTCTTCTTGATGTGTGCTGGAGGGTCGGCTCGTACTTGAGCGATGTGAAGGGGGCTGCGAAGGACATAGAATCTGACCTCGAGGGCCTGCGAGACGAGATCGACGCGCTACATGGAATCAACTCGGTGATACGAGAGCTTCAGAAGAAGACGGCCGAAGCTGGCTTGATCTCGGGTCTGGACCAAGCGCCTGAACTCAGCAGGATATGGAAGAACATCGAGGAAAACACACGAGGCTGCACGGACGTCGTAGCGAAGCTCGAAGACGAAGTTAGAAAAATTATAGGCAAGAGCCAGCAGGTCAAGCCCACAGGCAAAATCGATGGAATTCGGAAAACGGTCAGACGGCAGTCCACGGATCCGCAACTATCAAAATTCCACCAGAGTCTCTCCAAGTACCATCAAAGCTCTCAGGTGTGCCTGACTGCTCTTGATATGTAAGCTCGCCCATTCGATGTCGTCTCAGGGCTAACTTTATACTAATCTTTCGTGCAGCTTCTACTCCAGACACTCTCTTAAGGCAACTGAAAGTCTTTCCGGCAAAGCTGATAAGCTTCTCGAGAAGGAGTCCCAACTTGAATACCAAATCAAGGTCCTCAGATCTCAACATAGAGCTACTAACAGCCGAGGAGTAGGTCTTCTCTAACACTTGATTGGAACATTCAATAGTCTAATTGTGCATAGCTTCTGGAAACAATCGAAGCTGCAGCAGCGGTAATCAGCAAGCCGCTCAACAAGCACTTCATGCCTCCCCGTTCTGTCAGCAGTATCTTCACAGGCCGAGAAGAACTCTTGCAGGAGCTTGGAAAGACTCTTGAGGGTGATTACTCACTCGAGTCAGACACTGTGCAGAAACGATTCGTGATACAAGGGCTCGGCGGCTCGGGCAAGACGGAGTTTTGTTGTCGGTTTGCTCAAGTCAATCGACAGAAGTGAGTTATGGATTGGTACAACAAGTATACATGACCACGATTAACACATGCGTACAGGTTCTGGGGTGTCTTCTCAATCAATGCCGCTTCGCACGAAACTGCGAAAGAGGGCTTCGCCTTGATCGCCGAGATAGGTGGCGTTGAACCCAACGAACGCGCTGCCAAGGCATGGCTCGCCAGCTTAGAAGTTCCATGGCTCCTTATCATCGACAACTCAGACGACCCTTACCTCAACATTGCAGATCTCTTTCCCGCTGGCGAGCGAGGCTTTATTCTCGTGACCACTCGGGTCCCGGAAAATACCAAGCATGGCACCGTTGGACGAAAATCATTCGTATTTGAGCAACTGGAGAGCCGTGCTGCGACACATCTGTTACTAAAAGCAGCCCAGGTTGAGAGCCCGTGGGACACGAAGACAATGGACGGAGCGGGCAGGATCACCAAAGCTCTTGGCTACCTCCCACTTGCTCTTATCCATGCAGGATCCGCAATCGCGAATCGGTTGTGCGAGCTTGGAAGCTACCTCGAATACTTTGAGACGGTCTGGGATAATATCCGCCAAACGAAAAAGCAGACAAGAGCGAGAAGGCCCAGGCATCCTGATTCGGACGATAGCGAAGATGACCAGACATATATGGGTGTGTATTCCAGCTACGAAATATTGTACAGAAGACTGGAAAGGGGAGCGGGGGAGGAGAGGACCAGCCGTAACAGAGATGCCATTGACCTGCTTAGAATATTCTCCTTCTTCAATCGCGAGAATATCAGACTTGACCTGCTTATCGCTGCAGCAAGGAACACTGTACCGAAGCCCGTGGGAAAAGATGATAAGCCGAAGCCATGGACACAAAGGCTGAGAGAGTTAACTTTGAGGGAGTTGCTATTTGCATTACGGATCGAAGTGTTGAAGGATCGAAGTCAGCCAGTGTTGCCGCAAATGCTCCGCGATGTCCTCGATGAAAGCATAACAATCCCCGAGTTTGAATCACGGCTTCGGAGTGGAATGAAGGTGCTGACTCAATACTCATTAATCACCTATCAGGAAGCGACCCACAGCTACGCGATGCATCCCTTGGTTCACGTCTGGGTGCGCGAGAGGCCACAAATGAGCTTAGGAGAAAAGGCCATCTGGGCGCAGGCTGCGAAGAACACCATAACTAACAGCATCTCACTCCCGCTGCAAGGAACCCCTCCCAAGGAAGAACTCGAGTTCCATAGGAGCCTGCTGCTTCACATCATGAACCTGCGCAAGCGGCAAAGCGAGATCGTGGCCAAGATCCGAAAAAATCAGACGCGGTTCTTCAGGATCTGGCCAGTGGTCGTCCCCAAGTCTGATCTCGAGGTGGTCGATCGCAACCAAGCACTGCAATGCGGAAAGTTCAGCTATGTATACACCATATGTGGCAAATGGGACGAAGCCCTGGCACTCCAGCAAGCAGTGAAAGACTTTCTCGTGCCGAATCTCGGGTGGGAACATGAAGCCTCAATACGGATTTGCAAGTATCTGGCAAGGACGTACTTGCTCAAGGGACGTTTCAACGAGGCAGGAACCCTGAATGAGCAGGTGCTCCAAGCAGCAATAAACTCCCTGGGAGAAGGACATCAAATAACACTCGAGATAATGGACAGCTTGGGGTCTATCCGCGTTCTGCAGGGCCGGTTGCCGGAGGCCGAAGAGATGCATTCACGAGCCATCCAAGGAATGCGCAAGACGCACGGATCGGATCACCCAGACACCCTGTCTGCCATCGACAACCTCGGCGCGGTCTTCTGGCACAAATTCGAGTTTGACAAGGCTGTAGAATGCCACTTGGAGGCGTTGAAAGGGATGAAAACCAAGTTGGGACCCACGGATGAGCGAACGCTAGCTGCGAAAGAGAACATTGCGATGGCCTACCGCGAGATTGGCGGGGCGTATCTAGACGAAGCACACGCGCTTATGGAGGAGGTCCTCGAGGAGCGCACCAAGTTACTGGGGCGGGAGCAGCCATTCACGCTGATAGCAATGTCAAACCTTGCGTACGTCAAGCACACGATGGGCGATCACGAGGAAGCAGAACGCATCATTAGAAAGGGATTGCCCGTGGGAGAACGCAACCTTGGGGAAACCCACCACGGCGTCCTAGCCGCCAAGTTGCGCTTAGCAATCATCCTCACGGCGCAGAAACGGTACGAAGAAGCCAAAGCCATCTTCAAGTTCGTGCTCGACCGCGACAAGTACGCCGACTCCGTGCGAACAGATGGCGCCATCAAGGGCTACCACGGTTCGTGGATCTTTGCCTTCTACCAGTACGTGCTGTTCTGGGAGCATCAGGGGAAGGTCAAGGAGGCGCTCGATGCGTGTGAGGAGCTGTGCAAGGTGTTGGAGAGCTCGACGCATCGCATTCGCAAGATTGTGTTTGATAAACGAGAGGATTTGACGAAGAGGTTTGCTTTCCCTCTTTTGTAATCGTGCATCCTTGGTTGCATATTGGGTGATCACTGAATCTAGGTTTGTCTCGCGGCCTTTTCGAGAAAGAAAAGAGTCCGAGGGGATTTACCACATGCTAGTGACAGCAAGAAGGTCTCCAAGCCCCTTATCCCGTATACGATATATACCCTCTAGATAGTTAAAGTCCTAGCCATATAACTGATTACCGCGGTTTTAGCTACTGAATTTAACTAGTTTTATTAATATTTTACATAGCCTCGACTATTTATTAAACTTTACTTATAAGTATATATGCCTTAATTTACTTTATATAATAACTTCTAATATCTGCTTTTAAAAATTACTAGTTATTATTTTTAATTATTCTAATAATCTAAATCCTTAATCTAAAAACTAGAAATAATCTCTTATTAATTATAATAAGCCTTATTTATTTTTATTTTAAAGCTATTTTTAGTTATATAAGTTTTTTTTTATTCTTAACTTTTAATAATTATTATATTTTATTATTATTATATAAAACTATAGTCTTATTATAAGATATTTATTAATAAATAATAAAATAATAAAACAAATTAATAAATTATAAAACTAAAATATTAAATTTAATATAAAACTAATTTTTATCTCTTTTATAAGATTTAGAGAAGCCTTTATTATATAAAAGACTCTAATAATATATATATATAATTAAAGAACTATAGGCCTAAAATCTATAATAAAATTAGTAATATAAAAAAACTTACTAATTTCTCTAATTAATATTCGAAATTAATTATATATAATATAATTTTATATAATTCTATATATATTATAATTATATTTCTTTTTAAGAATTTTATTTATAAGATCTATTAATTTATTTAATTAAAATAAACTTCTAGTATTTAAAAAATAGTTTTATTAATATAATTTAAATACTAAATATAAAAATTATTTAATTAAATTAGAGCTAAATAAATAAAAAGAAATAATAATTATATTTTAAATATAAAAGCTAGCTAATAATTATAATTTTATTTAGAAATAGAGCTGTATCTCCTATAATAGTTCCCAATGGTCATTGTGTTCACTCCGTTCTAATTATTTTCTCATTTTGTAATCAATTATGTCTGTCTATGCCAGGTTTCCCCTCAACCATACACCCATCAACGTATCTCTCTTCGCCAATCCAATGCAACCTCTCGGCGGTCTCATTAATCAACCCACCGAACTATGAAGCCCTCTCATATCGGTGGGGAGACCTAAAAATTAGATCTACCATTCAGCTTGAGAACCAAGATTTTTCGATCACCACAAGTCTCAAGGAAGCCCTCGTACGTCTGCGAGACCGAACAAGGCCCATGAAATACTGGATCGACCAAATCCGCATAAATCAAGGCGATTCATCAGAAAAAAATCGCCAAGTTCCCCTTATGGGTGAAGTGTACTCAAAAGCCGGGATCGTGAAGGCCTGGTTGGGGGAAGAAGCGGAGGAGGGTGAAAAGGCGTTTAGACTATCTGAACGTTGGTACAATACTATGAAGATGTTCCATAGTCTATTTCGAGAAGTGGCATCCCGGAATCGACAACAAGCTGTCTTGTTTGTAAGCAGTGTGGGAAATGAGTAGAGTAGAGTAGAGTAGTGGGCCCTACTCATATTCTACTCAAATAAATTTCTCACTACTCATACTCTACTCAATACTCTACTCAACTACTCTAGAATATTCTAGAGTAGTTGAGTAGTATGCACGTGATGTTACACGTGATGTTACACGTGACATGCTAGCCTAATTAGATAAGGCTCCGGGGTGGCCCGAGTCTAGCGCTACTGCACTGCCCAATCAAGTAGTAGCAAGGCTTGGTAAGCAAGGTAGTACCTTAATATATTCTTAGGCTTCCTTAGCTATTAAGGGCAAACTCTTCTCTCAAGGTACTCTTATTATTTAAATTATATAATAGACTTAATAAGAGTACTATTAAGATAATATCTTACTCAAAAAGCTGGGAGTTATTTAAAGACGAATTAGAAGAAGTAAAATGTGAGGCTCCCAATATAGCAGGGTGCTACGCAAGTAGTCAAGGTAAAGGGGTGGAATATAGAGTAAAGTATGGAGTGAAGCATGGAAGTATATTAATTCCAAGAACTGGTTCTTAGTAATAAACTAATCGATGCCCATTTCCAAAGCTCGCATGCCTCCATATATAGAATGTCACGATAAGGTGATATTGCAGTGGTGGTAAAGAGCTTGAATTGAGCTGAAGGCTGTGTGCCGGGCTAAAAGCACTGGCTACACGCTAAGTCACGTGCAGTGGCACCACGTGACTGGTGCCACGTAACATAGAATCTAGTGTTCCGCTGGATGTACGGAAGCACTAGTCCTAATTAGGGAGTGCGATCCCACATAAGCACTAGCCTAATTAGGCTACCAAATCCAGCTGGACGATCGTTAAGGTGCGCATCACATAAAAGGAGAAGAAAAAAAGCAGGAAAAGAAAGATTTCGAGGAGGGAAATCTGGTTTTTATAGAAGAAAAGTGGTATTTAAGTAGCCTTATATAAGCTCTAGCTTAAATTATATAGTACTGCTTAATATGTGCCTTATTTATTTATTAATAATTAAATAAATATTGATTTTTTATATTTATATAACTTGCACGTGACTACTCTTGAGTTACTCTAGAGTAGTACTCTACTCTACTCTACTCAAGTACCATATTACGCTACTCAAACTCTACTTTACTCTACCCAAGACTACTCTAGAGTAGCTTGAGTAGCTTGAGTAGTTTTTACCCACACTGTTTGTAAGGATGGCCGGGCCAATTGTGGTGGACGTTTCCAACTTACAGGCTTTCGTTCAGTTGATCATTCGCGAGTACTGGAGACGCGTTTGGATGATTCGGGAGATTGGTCGAGCGAGGCAATGCATTGTCTTGTCTGGGCCCAACAAAACGGACTTGAAATCATTGATGGCAATGTCTGAGCTAATTGCCGATTTCGATGGAGAGTTCTTTCAAGGCGTATTCGACCGCGGGGTCTCCCAGTTTTATCAGTCAATTCACAGCACGCGATTTCTTCTCTCGTTCAATCAGGCTTCGGATTGGTATATTGCGGTGCCAAACAATCCAGACGTTGTTACTGTCGAGACCATTTTGGGCTCAACGGGACATTTTGGACATACGAATCCCCACGATAGGATATACGGACTTCTTGGTGTACATGTCTTTCGGGAAATCTCAACTTAACGGTGGACTACACGCGACCACCGGAGAGAACTCTTATGGAACTGGCTAAGGAGTTACTTGACCAAAGGTCAAGCCTGCGCTGGCTGGGATTGCTTTCAAGACGTCGACAAGTTGGCCCCGAGAGTGAGTTACAGCTTCCATCCTGGATGCCAGATTTCAAAGGGGGCAGCAACCTGAGAATCTGTCATGACACAGCAGAGAGTATTGCAGAGCGGTTTCGGAGACCCAAAGCATCTATCGACTTGGAAACTGGCACTCTGACTGCCAAAGGTGTGCTATGGGATAAGGTGCAATCCGTTCACTTTGAAGAGGGAATAGATGGATGGTCTAACGCGTACCCTGCGCCGTGTAAGCGCATCCTCTGTTGGTTGATGGCCGCCGCGCAACGCTGTCAACATACCTATCCGACGGATGTTTCGAGGCTTCAAGCATTCGCCAGGACGTTTTTCGCAAACTATCAAGTGGATGAATTTCAGGTCTTCGCCTGAGCTTTGACGGAAATTATCTTCGATTTGTGTGGAAAAGAACGGGAGCACATCTCAAGAAGCCAACAGCTGGGAGGAGATATTATTAGGGACGTTCGAAATATCTGCTGGGTAAGTGGACTGTGTGCAAGCAACGGTCCACACGAAATTATTCTATAATCTTTCTGGGGCAGTTCAACTCCTGCGCTCGCAGATGGTTGGGTTTTCCCTGATCATCCTCTTCACGGACCTGACCCGAGAGGTAACCATACCTTTGTTAACACGATCGTACAAAGAGTAGCCGGTGACCAAGCGCGCTTCATAGTAACAGAAGGGGGATACATGGCATTTGGATCGTATGTTATGAGGCGAGGCGATTTGATTTGTTATCTGTATGGCTCGGCTGTGCCCTTGATTATCCGACCAGATAATGGTCACTACATTGTGGTTAGACCGTGTTTTCTATACGGGATCATGTAAGGAGAGGCGTGGAGGGAAGGCAGTGATGTTAGGACATTTGAGTTTCATTAATAACAGATAAACTCAGAGAGGAGAGCGGACCTGAACTTTATGTTATAAACACGTTGGGACGATGTAAAGTATTCTTCTCTATTCAATATATATACTTTATATATACAAATATACAAGCTTTCTCTTTGCTTTGCATTATATAATCGATCCTTTCCTTTCCCATTTTGACTCGATACTGACGTCGATGCGCAAAATACTACCACCATACTCCTTCAAATGCCATTATTCCCCCATCCTAAGTAAAGTGAATTGAAGCCCAGGGGCCTGATTACATATCACGATCTTCATTTCTTCTTGCCAGTTGGATCAGATCCTCATTGCGGAACAGAACAGTCCCTATCGGGGGTTTTTGTAACGATGTTTTGCCCGACAAAGTACCGACTGCCCCACCTCCCCTTCTGTCTTGAGAAGCCGAACCCAGAGGCATAGCCATTCAAGCTAGCACCTCCAATTCCTGGCCTCCATCGCAGCAGACGATGCATCGGAACGCCCTTGCCGCTCTCACTCCAACTCCATCGGTGGCAGCGAGCTAAAACCAGCCGCTAACTCATGCGGCAGATATCCAGCATTCAACTCCTTCGCCGCTGGGTCCTTCGTCGCCAATTCTTTTGCAGCCGGGTTCGCATCCATTTCTCGCGGGGGAGCAGAGTCGGTTTGTCTTTTTCGAGCGGCTTTGCGTTTTCGATGGAGGAAGAAGAGGAGGGCTAGGGCTAGGAGGATGAAGACGGGGATCACGACGGCGATGGCGGCTATTCCGCCTGTTGAGAGGCCTTGTTGCGATGGTGAGGGGGTGGGCGAGGGGGAGGAAGAGGAGTTCGTGGTGCTCGACGGTTGTGGTTGTTGGGGGATGGTTTGGTTGAAGGGCATAAGGAAACTGGATTGTTTCTTGTTAGATTGATTCGTCTCTGCGGAGAGGAGATGCGAGGAATAGATGAAAGGAGGAGGCTACCTATCGACAGTATGGACTACGCCATTTGCAGTCATGTAATCGGTCTGGAGGATCTTCGCCGAGTTGATGTAGGTATCATTTCCGAGCCTCGTGATAGTCAAATTGTCCCCCTGGTGACTCTTCAATACTGTCCCATTCACAAAGCCTGGGCTATATAGAACGGTGTTAGGGACTAGGTGGTAGTTGAATAGTGAGGTGAGATTATCTGCAGCTATTGTCGTTGAAACACCATTGAACCAATCGAGTGCAGCTTGTGTATTAGGCAGAAAAAATGTCATGTTGGGCGTAAATGTGGCAAAGTTGGCAAAAGCGATAATTCCTGTGGTATCCACTGAGAGATACTATTAAGAATTAGTGCCACGGTTCTTGATAAATGTAAAGGTAGTACGCAGGATCAAGTTGCCTCTATAAACACCTCACACATATCAAAATGAATAAAAGCAAAGGACTCACATTTGCTTTGTTCAGAATCGCAATCAAGTAGGACATATGCGCCTGCGCTACAAGATTTATAATCTGTTGCGGAATACTGAGCACTGAGTTGATAACTTGGACGAAGCCATTCAAACAAACAATGTCCTGTCGAGAGTTTAGTGTTACGCGCAGATGTTTAAATGCATACATACCTTCTCGTCAGAAGCGATAGTTGTAACAGTTTTGTTATCCGAGAGAATCTCAGGATCACCTCCAGGCCCATTGATCAATTCAACTCGCTGGCCGCCTGGAACGATTGTGACATTTGAATATGAGGAATTAGTAAGGCTCGTGACCACGAACTGAGGCTCGTTGGTGAAATCTATCGTTGGCCAGCTTCCGTTGAGGATATGGTATGACAAAGTAGCCTCGATAATGTCTGCACTAGGAGTGCTATTGCCATATGCCGTGGAAATCCATTGCGCGATGGCATCATTCGTTGGCGCTAAGAAGGTAAAGTTTTTCGAGTCATGAAGTAAATTGTAAAGGTTGGACGAGCTGTTGACAAAGGAGAAGAGTTTACTGAGGACGGGAATGCCCTCTAATGTCGGGATGATGGAGGACGGGAGATTCTGCCGAGGTTTCCGCGAAGCCATCGAGACTTCTGAGCGCGGAAGGAGGAAGAAGTGAACACGGAGATGTGAGAGTATCTCGGTCGTTTGGACGATCGAGCTCTGAGAGCGGCGCAGATATGATGCAGAAAACGATACCGAATGCGACGACCATGCGAGCAAACATACGGATGCGCGACGCTTGGCAGCTCATGTTTGGGAAGTGGGAGGGCGTGGGTGATATCTGGCATTCAGCCTTAACCGCCGCTACGCCAGAAGGAGCGCCTCGCGTGCGGATAGGAGGATCTAGCGAGTGAGATACTTCATATACGGGTACGGATGAGTTCCATGGCCAGTCAGAGGCCAGTCCGCAGATAGATCTGACATGCGTGAAGATCAATGGATTCGATTGGTTCAGCCCGCGAAATTTCGTGTACTCCCTACAGGGGTGTTTAAATGTAAACCAGTACTTAACTACATACAGCAAGAAAGGCTGACACCGAGGGAGGTGACTGGTCAGACTACCCTGCGATTCTAGCTAGTTCGCCGATAAAACCCTTGTAAACAGGTGACTGGTCAGACCACCCTGCGATTCTAGCTAGTTCGCCGATAAAACCCTTGTAAACAGGTGACAATTAACATTTATTTCAACGTGTAGGTAGTAGGGAAGGTTCAGCGTAGACCCAAAGGAGAAAAGGAGAAAATATCCTGGTTGCCGAAGGTCGTCGACTTGCACGCGGCCCAGTAGAAGGGTTCCCTGGTCAACCGGCCACCCTAGTCAACCGGCCACCCACAAATCAACCTACTCACTAATTATTTTAGCATGCAAGTTTGGTAGATCGATCTTTAGTATAGCAATAATCCATATAGCAATTTAAACTGCTTTTGTAAGTTTATTCGTCGCAATTTTTCCCCTTCAAATTAGTGATTAAAATCAGGTTTAAAGCCTGAATTTACAGGCGGCCTGCCATACTAAAAATTTAGCGAGGAACACCAAAAAATCTCAAAAAGCTATATTTCGTAGTTTGCACCATAATCGTGAACTTCTTTTTACTCTAATATGCATTTTCTTAGACCTATTAATCTAAATTATGTATATCTTTAGTTTTAGCCAAAAATATTACGTGGTTGAATTATAAAATGATTATTTCAAGTGGCCGGTTGACCAGAGAACCCTTCCAAGCAGAGACGGCCTCAGCAACCCGGCCACCCACATGTTGGAACAGCAGAGTCGCGAGCCGCGGTGGCTTTTGGGGGCGATACAGGATGCTTCTTGAGACGGGTCGCCATCGTCTGATAATTTCAGGGAGGGTGTACCTTGAAACTCCTGGGGTGTGGGTGTGATGTGGGTGTTTGGTATTGGGTATTGGGTGTGGGTATGGGTGTAGGTATTTGGTGGAGGCATTCCAGGTTTGCTTTCCTGGTAGGCTCGAAGGTTTCACCTAGGGATAGCCTAATTTATTAAATTTATATAAATAATATTAGTCTGGGCTAATAATAAATATATTATATTTATATAGAATTTATAGTATTTATATAATATTAGTATAAAAAATAGGAAAAACAGAGAGAAAATAGAGATACTTAATTAATATTAAGAGATATTTAGATAATTATATGAAATTCTATCTATAAGTAATAGTAATTATAGTAACTCTATTAATCCAGAGTAAGTTATAGCCTATTTAGGAAGAATACCTATAAATAGTATTATTTATTATAATATTAGTTTTCTCAAATACTTATATATACTACCCCTAGTTTTATCTAATATCCGGCTAAAAGTTTACTTAACCTTAATAATAATATAAAAAAATAAAGAAAAAGAATTAATAATTATAATCTATAACTTAATTATAGTTATCCTAAAAATATTTGGAATTTTCCGAATATATTAGGGAAATTATAAATCTTTTAGTATTTCTTATTTGGGTAGTTATTAGGTAATTTCTTTTTTTTAATAGTTAGACTTAATATTATACTAAAGGAGCTCTTCTTTTTACTCGGGGAAAGTAAGTTATTCCAGAAAGCAAGTTATTCCGGAAAGTAAATTATTCCGGAAAGTAAAATATCTTATACTAGCCTTTTTTATCTTTTAAAAAACAATAATAGAAATAAGCTATATAAAATCTAATTAATATATTTTATTCGTAATATTATAATTATATATTATATATTTAAGAGTTAAAGTTTAAAATAAAAGAATAAAGTTTATAATTAAATAAAAGTTATAATTATATTATATATAATAAACTTCAAATATTAATTAGAGAAATTAATAATTCTTTTATATTATTATATTATTATTAATTATATTATAGGTTTTAGACTTATAGGTTTTTAATTATATATATATTATTAAAGCTTTCTATATAATAAAGGCTTTTTAAAGTTTTATAAAAGAAATAGAAATTAGTTTTATATTAAATTTAATACTATAGTTTTATAATTTATTAATTTATTTTATTATTTTATTATTTATTAATAAATATTATATAAAATATATAGTTTTTTATTAAATTTATTTTTATAAAAGAAATTAATTAAATTAATTCTAATATAAATAATAATAAAAGCTTATTTTATATTTTATTATATTTTATAAAAACTTTATTTATAAGCTTATTTTTTTTAATAATTTTTATAAAAGAATTTTTTAAAATAAAAAAATAAAAAATTTCTTTTTTAATAAAATAAATTTAAAAAATAAATTTAGATATAAAAAACTTTTTAGGATTTAAATATTTAATTTATATTATAGAAAGTTTTTAAAAAATAAAGAACTTTTATATATTTCTAAAAAAATAATTTTTAGATTTTAATTTTAAATTTATAATAAATATTTTTTTTTAGAAATAAATCTTATAATATTAAAAAGACTATAATAAAATAATATTTATTAAAAGTAATTTAAGACTTATTTAATTAATATATTTTAAATATTTCAAATTTATTAATAAAATAATTACTAAATTATATATTTAAATAATTAGTTTTAAAATTAATTAAAATTTATATTTTAAAAAATATATATATATTTATTTTTAAATAATTTAAAAAAGTTAAAAAAAGTTAAAATAATAAAATTTAATAAAAATAATTTAATTTTTAAAAACTTTAATTTAATAAATTCTAATTTATAAAATTATTTAAAAAAAAGAATAAATTCCGAAAATTATATAAAAAGGTTATAAATAATATTTAGGTTTTCTTTAGATTTTATTAAAATATAAATTTTATTTTAAATATAATTTATTAAATTTATAAAAATATTATTTTAATTATAAATTAAAAAATTATAAGTTTAATTTTTATATTATTTATTATAAAATATATAAAAAAAATATTATAATAAAATAAAAACTTATATAAAATAAAATAAAATAATATATATTATATAAAAGTTTAAATATTTAATTATAAAAATAAATTATATATAAAAAAACTTTAGCTTTTATTATATAATTAAAACTTTAAAATTATTAAAATAAAATAATTTTAATAAAATATAACTTATTATATTATATTATATAAAAAACTATATAAAACTATATTTTTTAAATTAATAAAGTTTTTAATATTTTTAAAATTAGAAATTTTTAAATCTTTATTAAAATTATAAAATTTTAAGAAATTTTTATATTTAATATTTTAGAAATATTTAAATATTTTTAAAGTTTTTTTAAAAAAAAGAAATATTAATTTATTATATTAAAAACTTTTATTTAATATTATTAAAACTATATAATAAAATAAAAATTTATTAATTATTATATATATATAATATTTATTATTTAGAATAATTATATTTATTTTTAATTAAAAATAAAATATAAAATATAAATTTAAAATATAAATTAAATTTTTTATTAAATTTTTTTAAAATTAAATTTTTAATATTATTAAATTATATAAATATATATATTTATTATTTTTTTATATAATTTATATATTATATAAAAATTATAAAAATTTAATTATATTTAGCTAAAATAATAAAGCTATAATTTTAAATCTAATTATTATTAAAGAAATTATAATTTAATTTAATATTATTAAATTTATTATATATTTTTAAAATATTTATTTCTAGTTATATTAATCTTATTTAAATAATTATATAAAATAATATATTATTTTAATATTTAAAACTTAATTTTTTAGAAAGTTTTTTTTAAAAATACTTTTTTATAATAATAATATAAATTTATTTTATAAATATTTTAATTTTTTATAATTTTAGTTTTATTAGAATTTTATTATATTTATTTATTATATTTAAAAAATTTTATATTTTTTAAAAAAATATTTTTTTCTAATTATAAAATAAATTATTAGTTTAATATATTTAAAAAAAAAAAGCTATTATAATATTTTAAATCTAAAACTAAAATATTAAAAATATATAAATATTTAATATATTTAATAATTTAAATATAAATTAATTATAAATTATAATTATTAATATATATATTAAAATAATATAAATTAGATTTTAATTAAAAATAAAATTATATTATTAATTTATATATTATTTTTAATTATAATAAAAAAATAAAAATAGAAATAGCTTTAATTTTAATAATAAAACTTATTTTTAAATATAAAAAAAATTCTAAAAAAAAAAAACTTTTAATTTTAAATAAAATAATAAATAAAAAATAAAAATAAGAAATAAAAATAATTAAAAATAATAAATTATATATATAATTTATAAAAAATTTTTAAAAAAGAAAAGAAATTAAATAAAAATTAAAAAATTAAAAAATTAAAAAATTAAAAAATTAAAAAATTAAAAAAATTAAAGAATTAAAAAATTTAAATTTATTATTATTATTATTATTTTTAATATTATAATTTCTAAATATTTAAATATTTTATAAATATATATAATATATTTAAAATATATTTAAAAAACTAAATATTATAAAATATATATATTATATTTATAATATTTAATTTAATAAAATTAAATAATATATAAATAATAAAAATAAAACTAAAAAAGCTATTATTATATTATTATTAATATTAAAATTCGAATTTGAATTATATTTATTATTATTAATTAGCTTTTTTCAAATTTTGGGTTTTAAATTAAAAATTATATTTAAATAAAAAATTAGTTTTTTAAAAAACTTATTAATAAAAGTTTTAAATAATTTTTTTTATAATTAATTATAAAAGAAATTAGTAAAATTAATATAATTAAAAATAAATTTTATTTTATTATTTATAAATATTTTTAATAATATTAAAAAAATATTTTTTTTATTTTTTTTATTTATAAAAATTAAATTTAGGCTATATTAAAATATTATATTAAAATATTATATTAATAATTTAGAAAATTATTAAAAAATTATTAAAAAATAAATTTAATATTAGAAATTTATAATACTATTTTTTAAATATAAAAGAAATATTAGAAATAGTTTAGTTTTAAAATTATATAATATAATTTATAATTTTTATTAATTATTTATATAAATTTAAAATTATTATATAAATATATTATTAAATTAAATATTATTTAAAAGAAATATATAATAATTAATATAATATATTTTTATTAATTTTATAATAAAATTAAAATTAATAAATATTATATAATTAAATATAAAAAAAAAATTAATTAAAATAAGAAATTAATATATAAAATATTTAAGAAACCTAATATTAAACTAAATTAAAGAACTTATATATAATTAAAAAAAATTATTATTTTTTATATTTTTAAAAAGAATTTAATATTAGTATAATTATTTTTTTAATAATTATATATATAATTATAAGATTTAAAAAATATAATTATATAATTTTATATTTTATTTAATTAAATAAATTTAGAAATTATATATTAATATTATAATATTATATTTTTTATTTTTAAATAAAAATAATTTTACTAATTTATATATTATATATTATATTATATAATTCTAATAAACTAATATTTATAAATATAGTTTATTTAAGTAATTTAAAATAAATAATAATTTAGAACTTTAATAAATTAAAAATTTATAAAATTATTATTTTAGTTTATAATTTTAAAAATAATAATATAATTAAAAGAAAATATTTATTAATAATTTAAATTTTCTTTTTTTTATAATTAAAAAAAAAGTTTTAAATAAATTTATTATTATATATTTTATTTATTAATTAAATTATTATATATAATTTATTTTATTTTATTTTCTTTTATATAATTTATAATAAAAAAACTATATTATTTATAAAAATATATTTTTTAATTTAAAAAATATTTAAATAAAATAAGATTTATATTATAAAACTAGATTTCTAAATTTGGAAAATAAAATAAAATAGTTTTTAATTTAAGAATTTTAAACTAAAAAAAAGCTTATAAATATAAGAGTTTAATATTCTAAATATTATAACTATAACTATTATTATAGTTATATAATATTAAATTTATTAATAAAATAATAAAATATAATATTATTTTTTTCTTTTATATATAATAAGATAATTAATAAATTACTAGATTCGGGGAATTTAAATACTACTTTTAAGAGCTAGCTAACTAATTTCTTATTATTCCTATATTTCCTAAACTCTAGTTACTATATCTCCTATAGCCCTATATAGCCTGAGATATTAAATATAATTACTTAAACTTTTCTTATATTTATTTTCTTTATTTTTATTTTTATTTTTTATTTCTAAATATAATAAAATATTATTTTCCCGAAAATAGTAATTCTTTAATTTATAGCCTAAAATATATTTAAGTATTTCTATTATTTCTTATTTAGTCTTTTCTTATTCTTTCTTTTTATTATTTCTTACTATTTACCTTTTTTTCTTTATTTTTATACTTTTATTTTTAAAAACCTTTCTTTTTTACTAATTTTATACTTTTTTTTATTCTCGAGTTCTTTTATAAATTACTTAATATTTCTTTATTTCTTACTTATTATTTACTAATATTTTCTTTAATATACTATAGCTTAATTATAATATAATAAAGATCTTTTATTTATAAATAATAAAACTAATAATATAATAAATACTAATATAAATAGCTTATTTAATTATAGTAATAATAATAATAATAAAATAGATATTATAAATATTACTAATATAAATAGCCTATTAGAAATTAATAATAATTTAGATAATAATATATTACTTTTTAATAATAAAATATAATACTTTCTCGAATATTATTTTACTAAAATAATAAACCTTAATATATAATAGTTCCGGTAATAGTAATATAATTCAAAAACTTAAGATTAGCTTAACTAGATAAAGAAATACTATATTAAGTAAAAGAAATATATATATTACTAGTACTAAGGCCTTTTACTAATCTTATTATTCTAGATACTATATTTTTATTAAAGAGAATCTAATCTAATACTTCTAAAAAATTAATACTTAGTTTCTCTATAGCTTTTTATACTAGATTTATAACTAGTAATAAAAAAAGAAAAAATAGAAATAATCTAGTATTAGATATATAAGCTTATTAGAAATATTCTAGAAATAATACTAGCTATAGTATAAGCTTAAAATAAGTAAAAAGATTAATAAAATAGTCTAATAATAGAATTAAAATATAAGCTATATCTAAATAGCCCTTATAATTCTCCTAGCTATTTAGGGATTTGGATTCTATTACTAATAAAAGTCTAGATAATTAAGATTATAACTAAGAAAAAAAGTCTAAATAATATAAAATAGTCGAGTATAATAATATATATTAGGAACTTTACTAAGTTTATTTATATATTTCTAGTTATAATATAAATAATTTTTATAATTAGCTAGCTTTAAATCTAATTAATTCTCTTTTACTAGCTTATAAGTATTATAAGTAACTAACTAGAGGCCCTAGTAGAATTCTACTTCTAATATCTCGAGCTAATCCTAATCCGGAATTCATATATAGACTAGCCTCGACTTTTTATTAAGCTAACTAGCAAGTATACTAAGAGTTATTTTAGTATAAAAAATATATAAATCTAAGACTCTAATTCCCGTATATTAACTAGCCTTATCCCGTTCTACTAATTATAGTAAAGTAATACTTTTCCTATTTCCGAGATTATCTTTAATCTAATACTTGTCCTTAGTTTCTATATTTTCTTACTTGGTATATTCTTTAAGATACTAGCCTTTAAGTTTCTAAGTATTAATTTCCTAGAGAGATTCTATAGCCTCGATATCCTAAATAGACTAAATAAGTAATAGCTACTACTTCGGGAAATACTTAATAAGTAGTTTATTTTCTATTAGGCCATTTATAAAATATATAATATCTGTATTATTTACAAGCTCTAGCTCTTATTAGACTTAGTATAATACCGGATAAAGAAAGGCAGCCAGATTACGGGCTTTACTAAGATTATAAAGCCGTATTATCTTTATAACTCGGCTATTAAGGGGCTAAATAAGAGTTATATATACTTCTTTTCTATTCTTTTTATACGGGTATATATACTAATACGAGATACTTAATATAATAGATATTAGTAATTCTATATAAAACCTTATTCTCTAGTATTCTAGTATTAATACCTTCCTTAAATACTACCTTAATTAGAGGATTAATATTAACCTTTTAAAGATCTACTATAGTATATAGCTGGAGAAGGAGCTAATGCGGTTTGCGTATTTAATAAGCCAGTTAATTAATCCCCGGTGGCTATAGAAGTTAATACTATAGTAGTCCGTATCGGTCAAGTACCTTCCGTATATTATAAAGTTAGCCTAGTATACTAACTGACTCTCGGGGGCTCCCGAAGGCAGCCCGCAAGAGGAGAAGTACTAGAGAGCTTGTCGACGCCTGTAAAACGAGATAGTATAGTAGCGGAGGCTATTCCTGGTTAAGATTATCGACCGCTTCAAGAAGGAGCAGCCGGTAATTAATAGCGAACGGTAACTCTCCGGCGTACTACGGTATAGAGGAGGAGAGGTCTCATTTCTATATTTGGCGTAGCAGGCCCACCGGCAGCGGTGTTCCTATAATCATCGAGGCGGAAGGGCAGGCGCGGTCGGAGCGCGACGTTGTACTGAGCCAGGTGATCTCATCCGTAATGTCGCATAAGAGGCCGACGAAGTGTTTCTTGTATCTTGGAAACTAGCAGTTGGCGATACGCGAGAGGATCCGTAATTATACGACCCCTGGTTCTCTTAGCAGGCACTTTCACAACAGACACATTAAGAAGATGTTGGCGCAGTAGCAGATGGACTGTGGCGTTTGCGACATGAGGCTTTTGTATCGGATATATCTCCTAAACCACGCAGAGCGCTTTTATGGAACCGTCTTACGGCGTGTTATTTTGAATTAATACCAGATCACATATCACTTGGGCCGCAAGTAGATACCAAGGTAATGCGCTTTCTGCGGGGGTCTCGGCGGCATGGGCTGTTTATTTCCCACGGTTATTATCCAGCTCTTTCCTTTAGGGTTCTTAAATATTATCTCGTCTCTATAGCGTATTGGGGTCTCAGTTTATTATTTGAGACAATTGGTCTATTTATTTGAGATGTATATATATATAATCATTATAGTTTTTTGTGCTTTAATAATCTGACTTATATCACAAACATTAGCCCGGTAAACCGTCCCTTAACCCCTATCTACTAGCCCCTCCTCTGCCCTGAGCTTTCGCTCTGCCCTACTCCGATATGGAATGATGCTTGAGACTTGCACGCTTTGCTTCTATATCATGCGGAAGGAGGTTTACTAGTATTGGGTATGACAGTTACTAAACTCCCGTTAGTTACGCCCTTGAGACCTTTAGAAGCAAGGCTAGTGACTTGTGATTTGCTCTTTAGTCGGTAGCCAGGATGCGAGATTAATAGAATAATACGTGAAGTAACGCCCAGTCCGAAGAGAACGGATGATAAGGGCTACGTCAGCATTACAGAACTCTGCTAGGTCATAGGCCTTATTAACCAATATCGATTGCCGTCTGCTTAATCTTTCGCTTCTTCTCTTGGGTGGTTTGACAGCCATAACGAGGGAGATTATTCTTTGAAGATTGAGAGAGTGAGGTACACGGTTCTTTAAATATTCTAAGCTCACGTATCCAATGCCTGAAAATCTGCAACGAATGCTTGGAACAAACATGTCCCAAATATTGGAAGTTAGGATCCCGCGGCTATGAGAAGTTGAAAATGGAAAGTGATATCTGAAATCTGAAATCTGAAATCAGAATCAGAAACTAGGAAGTCAATTTTATGATTAGCGCCTGAATTTTGCCTAGGATACAAGGTCTGAATCCAACTTCACCTTCTGCCTCGCACAGGACCACCAGGGACCAGCGTCGTCTGACTAATCTTAATCACATGGGATCAAAGCGTACTTCGTATCAGGGGTAACAATTCCAAGACATAAAATGTCCGCTTTACCTCGAAAGGTAGTATTTTAGCAGAATACAGGTATTCTATTGGATGATTTCCCTGCTAGCGTAGAACTTGCTAGAATATGTTTTGGAACTGTTACCCCGAGTACCAAAGTAAGGTACTGGATTATGGTTATGGCATGTTCCTCTAATCCCAATCCGGGTTGGCACTGCTGCCACTCTCCTCCCAATCCCAATCCGGTTGGCACTGCTGCCATGTTCCTGTAATTCCAATCCAGGTTGGCACTGCTGCCACTATCCTCCCAATCCCAATCCGGGTTGGCACTACTGCCATGTTCCTGTAATTCCAATCCAGGTTGGCACTGCTGCCACTCTCCTCCCAATCCTAATCTGGGTTAATACTTCCCAATCCCAATCGGGGTTGGCACTGCTGCCATCTCCTCCCAATCCCAATTTGGGTTGGCAGTGCTCTAACCCCATTTGGGTTAGTACTACTGCCATTTACTTAACCTTAATTTGGGTTAGCACAATACTGCGGCAGTTATAACAAAAGTTTATTAAAAGTTACACGTGACGTCATGTGACATGTTAACCGTTTATGCTTATATATTTTCGAAAGATCTATAAAGGAATACTTGGACAAACATTTCCAAATACTGAAATCCGGGTTTAGAGAAGTTGAGAATGGAAAGTGTTCTCTATACGGATTTGCGACTCGTGCATTTTCAACAGGTATGGGAACGGGCCGCCTATTACTTTCGAGGAACGAAAAATTGACGAGCAAATAGAATTCAATTCCGGGTGAGGTCTCTTGTTTGGCTGGCGTTTGCAGGCACGCGCTTGCAGTAGCAGTGACAGGAAGCGAATGGCAAATGCTTGTTAGTCGAGAACAGCATTGTGCCGGCGCATATATAGCCAACCACGTTTCAAAGAAAAGAACATAATATTTTTTTTTCTCTGTATCTTGATTGGCTCTTCTAAGGTTGGGGTGCGGGTTTTCCTCCATTTCTAATGGTGTTACAAAAGCCGGCGCTAATTCCTCAGATATTTCTAAGACTAGTAGAATTCTACTGGTCATAGCGATCCCGCTTTCCTTCTTCCTGGATACCTCCCAGACTGGTAGAATTCTACTGGTCATACCGATCCCGCTTTCCTTCTTCCTGGATACCTCCAAGACTGGTAGAATTCTACTGGTCATACCGATCCGCCTTTCCTTCTTCCTGGATATTTCCAAGACTGGTAGAATTCTACTTAGTGTGTGTGGGCTCCGATAAGCTCGATAAGCTCCGATTAGATAATCGCGCTAATTTTTCGATAATCGATAATCGACCATCGATTACGATAATTATCGAACTAAGGCCTTGGCAATACTACAGGGCCACTACAGGGCCAATGCGCTATATTTATAGGCCTCATACCACCTTTTCTTTACTATAGCAGAATTCCGATTTAGTAAAGGCGGTATAAGGCCTATAAATATAGCGCATTAGCCCTGTAGTAGCCCTGTAGTACTACTAAGGCCCTGGACCCACTATTATTAATAGATTTAGTACTGTAAAGGCGGTCTAAGGCCTATAAATATAGCGTATTGGCCCTATAGTGGCCCTGTAGTGGCCCTGTAGTATTGCCAAGGCCCTGGGACCCACTATTATCAATGGAATTATCAATGGGCTCGCTTAATGGCTGGCTGGGCCCACTTTTATCGATGGAATTATCGATGGGCTCGCTTAATACTGGCTGGGCCCACTTTTATCGATGGAATTATCGATGGGCTCGCTTAATGCTGGCTGGGCCCACTTTTATTAATGGAATTATTAATAAAAGCGGGCCCAGCCATTAAGCGAGCCCCATTACATTAATAGTATTAGCAATAATTATATTATCTATATTATATAATAGACTATTAAATAGAAATATAATAGTATAGTAATAATAGTCTACTTTTATACTAATCTTTATACTAATCAGTTTATAATTGAACTAGAAAGCGAGATATTCATATAATAGGGCTCGCTTGATAGCTGGGGCCCACTTTTATCGACGATAATTATCGATATCAATCGTTTATCGATTGATTAGCCGATAACGATTACTAATCAATAATTACGATCGATAATTTATCGGAGCCCACACTGCTTATCGTAAATCGTAGAGATAAACAACATCCAAATAGAACAGAGAGGCTAAATAAGCAAAGATATTTTAACTTTACTGTGTCACCCGAGATGTGCACTGCCTCGCAGGAGCAGGATTCTGTGATTCAGGGGCCTGCAGCTCGTTTGTCATTTTACCCGAGCCGAGCATGGCCTCCCCACCACATATAAAGTTCCATATCCCTCCAAATTCAAACCCGACTCCCCATCAAACTTTTGGGGAAAAAAAGAAAGAAAAAATTCGGAACTAAATTATATTCACTACTTCTCCCACAATGCTCTTCCAGGATCTTCCAGCCGAACTCCTCCAAAAAATCTTGGTTCAAGCAATCCTCGCCCGTGGAGTTAAGAGAGGTCTAAGACTAAGACTTGTATGCAGTAAGTTCGTTCCTTTCCTAGTAAAATATCGTCCAATTAATCGTTGCGTCTAGAGTTATTCTCGCACAAGATCCAGCCTGCACTCTTTGAGTCGCGACTTCTAGACGACTTCTACGTAGAGGCCGTTGCGCCGAACTGGTATATCCAGAACAACCATGGCGCCAGTGCGTTCTTTCACTCCTATCTTGTATACAGAGTCCAGAACGAGACTAGCCCTCACCAGCGTCGCTTTCTCAACATCTACCAAGTCTCGGAGCGTGTATGTGAAGAAAGCAGCGCCAACGCCAACCTAGTGACTACGATAGAGACGCTCTGCTGGCCTGCGTTGCACGAAGCAATGAAACCTTCTACAAATACCAAAATAGAGAAGGACCCGTTAAGTCCAGGACTGGACCTCCTATGTGCTGCAGCATATCTAAATCTTATCCCTCTCGCTAAGAGATTGCTCCAAGAAGGCCATCGACCCACGTGTGAGAGCCACCTTTTCTCCTCGCCCATGCGACTTGCTGCGTGGGCAGGGAACGCTGATATGATGAAATTATTCCAAGAGAACTTGCCTGAGTATGATGAGAAAGGGCTACGAGATTCGCTGATGGGAGTTGCAATTCGGGGAGATATAAAGCTGGCCCGTCTTGCTACATATCCTCCCTCGCGCGCTACGCCAGATAGTACTGATATTGCCGGCCAGCAATTTGGAAATATGGATCGCCAGGAGAGTGCGGGCAATGCGCTGAGCTGTGCCCAATGGTCTACGAGGGATATTGAGGTGTACCAGTACTTCGAGAGTTTCTTCGCAAAGCCCGACGAGCTAAATTTTAATCTAACGAAACATGCTCGGCTAGGCAATCTCGAAATGACGCGGTATCTCCTCGATGAAGGCGCAGATATTAGGGGTACGATGGGTCGTTGGGGGAATCCTCTATGTGTAAGCCTTAGTTTCTCTGCGCTCTTTTGCATATTCTACATTTTCTCACAGAAGCAAACTAACTCCGGAATCTTGGCGTGTAGTGCGCGTGTCGTGGATGCCATGAAGATATCGTCGGCCTCCTGCTTGAGAGAGGGGCCAACCCGAATTACGGCGGCGATGAGGAAAGAGTACAGGGTAGGAACCCGATTGTTACCGCAGCAAAAGCAGGTAGCCTGGCTATTGTTCGTAAGCTCATTGATCATGGTGTCGACTTGAGCCTCCCCAGGCAAGGCTACTCGGCGCTGAGAGCGGCGGTGCTCCTCGAGCATACGGCTATGGTGAAGTTGTTACTGGAGCGAGGTGTTGGTTTAGAAAAGAAGGAACGATTATTAGAATTAGCAAGGTCTAAGGGCCTTGATTCGATGATTGAGGTGCTACAGGAAGAGGGGACATAGTGTAAAAGTATAACCTTAAGGAGACGATCGAAGAGAAAGAAGGGAAGAGGCTTTCGAGGATTATAAAACGGGAAATAGAAGTCGATAAGGCAGGGGCATCTCAATGCAAAGACACTTTTAAATTGCTGTACTACAGTCGGTCCGACCCAAACACGACAAAAAAAAATAAAAACCACCACCATACTAATTAGAATAAATCATATTAATTAAAACTATACTATATACACTAGGAATCAATTCTATAGTCTCAAATTTATAATATCTTTATTACTAAGGAAGTTATAATATATGTAATTAAGCGAGCAAATATTTTTGCGCTTTGTATGGTCATTTTTTACTTTAACTATCACGTGACTGCCCCCCTAAGTTGACCGCTCTTCTATAATTATATTAATATCTTAATAACCACAAATCCAATCAAGTGCCCCTTTTGCATACTTCCAATAGCTACCTCTATAAGCCTTCAGAAACGCAAGCGAGCTAATTCGACTCTTGATTCAATTACAGTTCTTACTATAGCTAAAGAAGCTGCAATCCAAGTAACCATTGACGAACGGCATGGGAAACCCTCTAATATAGAGGATAATTCTGATAAATCAGATATTGAACAAAGTAACGAAGTAGAGCTTGAAGATTCGACTCTCTTTTGGGTTTAGCGAAAGCTTATTATTGGTAGTAATGAGACGATTATTTTGGAGAAGCCTATATTCGCATAGCAAGAGCAAAGACTTACGGTATAGACTAGTAAGTTTCTTATCTTTATATTATAATATAAGTATACTAATACTATTTCCAGCTTCTAGAGGCTCGTATGTCTCCAAATTAATAAAGGAATTAGCAAAGCCATTGAGAACTCAATAAAAGCATATATACGATCAGAGGGCAAAAGATACTCAAGTCACTAGGCTTAAGACCCCTATAATCGTACCGTCTTTTAAATAAAAGAAGCTATAATTCGGCATTATTAAGGGGCCAATTAATATCCCTAGGGATATGTAATTAAGAAAAGAGTAAAGGCTTAAGGATAAAGATAATAGAACAAACGAGCTACTTATGGATACCCTTATTAGAAACGCTTGCGGAGATAACGAAGCTCTAGACATACGAATAACTTATCAGGAAGTCCTTAATAATGTGGATATAAAGCTAGCACAGATAAAAGACTTATATACTCCCTATATAATCGCTAACTTATACCTACTCCGGCAATATACCCAATAGCTCCTGAAACCAGGGCAGTATCGACTAGGGAGAATTAATGCATTGCTCTTAGTAGCTTCCAGTAATCACTGCTTTAATGATAGAAAGACACTAGCTCAGCGAATTAGGGGGTTATTTAATTACTATTAACAGTGGCATGGCATTCCACTAGAGGCTAGGGGTAGTAAAAGAAATAGTACCTCCTATCTGGATAATGAGGACGTCTTTTTAGCTTGCCATACTTGGTTAATTAATCAAGAGCTTGGAATAATATTACCAAACGATTTCCTAAATACCATTAATCAGAAGATTTTACCTCGATTATTATCGATAATCAAAAGGCTAATCTCTCGTAACATAGCTTACTTATGGCTCCCTAGGCTCGGCTTTTATTGCCATGAGACTAAGAAAGGGCTTTATATGGATAGATACGAACGACCTAATGTGATTTAGTATTATTAAGAGGTATTTTTACTATTAATAAACGAGCTTTTATCATATACAGTCCAGTACGAGGAGGATAAAGCTGGTATATGGCATACGATTCAACCTTTACTCCCAATCGGAGTTCAGGTATATGTAATATACTTCCACGATAAGAGCTATTTCTATGGTTTTAACTATAAAAAGAGCCTCTGGCTAGCAAATAGTCAGCAAAAAATGCCAGGAAAGAGCAAAGGAAGGCTAATTCACGATTCTGAATTCGTGGGGCCTGAGGGACGTATTAGGGTACTAAATAATAAAGGCATTTTTATCCCGGACGACCCCGATTTGGATGCCCGTTAAATTACATATCCAGGCTCAAATGGAGATCCCTGGTGGGATATAAAATAGCTACTAGTACAGCTTACTAGGACACTTGATATATTTGAACAGAAGTACCCAAATTATATAGCTATTCTAATATTTGATTAGTCTTCTATATATGCTTCGCATGGCGAAGGTATACTAAATGCCTTTGGTATAAACAAGATACCAGGAGGGGTTAAAAAGGGTAATATCAAGCCCTATAGGAGGGATACGTATTTCCTACCGGAGTATATGATTCCGGGGTTACAGGGCACTATATAAGTACTTTGGTAACTTAATCCGAATGGAGAAAGAGAGCCTAAGGGCATGGAACAGATTCTTATTAAGCGAGGGTGCAATATACCTGGCTTAAGATTTAAGTATCCAAAGGGTACTAAGTATACTGCACCTCTTGAATACCCTCCCGCTATTGAATAAACGTGCTGTTTAGCTCGTATACTCTCGAATCACAAAGACTTCTTTGAGGAGAAGAGTCAAATTAAAGAGCTTATTATAAAGCGGGGACATAAGGCTGTATTTCTACCGAAGTTCCACTGCGAAATCAACCTAATTGAGATATACTAGGGGTATAGCAAAACTCGATTTCGTCAAGTAAAGAAGGTTAGCTTCCCAGATACTAAGGTTAAGGTAGTAGAGGCACTTGAAGCTTGTTTGATTGAGACTATACGGAGGTTTTGCAACCGTACGTTCCGCTGGATAGATGCATATTGGAAGGGATTGAGTATTAAATAAGCTGCTTGGTGCGTAAAGAAGCAAAAACGCTATAGAACGATATCTAAAAAGGTAATGGACGAATGGGATAATATGCAAAAGGATGGGAAAGAAGGTAGCTAAATAAGAAGCTAGGTTTATAGATTTAGTTTAGCTAAAAGTAAGCTTGAAACCTATATAATTATAGCCCCACTATATATATAATATATATGGTACCAGAAAAAGCTATATTTAGTACTTAGAAAGGTTCCATTAAGCTTATAGGGCTTAATTATTATTATTTTATTAATAATAAGGCTGGTGAGATGCCGCGATCTCTCCCTGAAGTCCGGGATCACGTGACCTTAGCGAGCAAATATTTTTGCGCTTTATATAATGAAAAATCAAAAAAGTAAAAAGGGTCCGTACACTTTAGGCCTTAATTATTAATGAACCACAAATTATATCAAAAATCTGATTAATAGGTATTTTTCGCCTGGTTCTATTCTATAATCGCATCACTTAGTATAAATTAATTAGGGTTGTGGTTGAAAAGTTATTATGGGCGTAAAAGAGCGACCGTTTTGTCGTGTTTGGGTCGGACCGACTGTAGACTTAGGATATTCCACTGCACCGATCCCCACGATCCCGTGTTTGCCCTTGGCGGCCTTCTGACAGATGGGGAGATATTGTGCTGAGGCAGACTATACGACATTGATGAGGAGATATATAATAGATTTTGTTTATTAGCATTCACTAGTCCATGAACATCTTGCAATTAGCTATTATCCCATAGAAGGGTATTAACTCTTCAAATAGCTTCGGCGCTTTTCTGTTATAAATTTCATATTTGGGCATAACTACTGCTTTTATAATCTGAAAAGCTTATTATAATATAAATATTTTACCAGCTATAATTATTAAGCCAAGTATATATATTCCTGCACCTTTGACTATAAACGAAAACGGCGGAGTAAGGCCAACATGAGCAGCGGAGCTTTTCTTCGCACCGGAGGCGGTAGGGCTGTTTGAAGTCTTAGTTGAGCCTGAAGCTGAAGCAGTAGTTGCCGCCGGTCCGGCCGTACCACCAGTAGATGTTCCTGCTGCAACCGTGACATTAAGAAGAGGAGCACAAGCGGCCATCGATTTGGTAGGCGTCATCAGGGTAGCATTACCAGTGAAGTCGCACGCCGAGGCTTGAGAGCCGTAATGCTGATATAGCGCATTGAAAGCCAGCGAGAGTTTATCGATAGGATTACATATCCCCCAATCAGGATAGCTGCCGGTGGTTGTGTCGGGTGTAAATCCTTTACAAGAACCGAATCCGTCCCCGCCGCAGATCCAACCGAAGTTGAAAGATATTTCACCGTCGGTCAGGGTGCTCTTTGCTTGACAGCTGAGTGTGCTCACCATGCAGCTGCACCAGTCTCGGCTTGGGGTCAGCGGAAGTCCCGTGGGTGCAACCTGCCAGTGGGAGTCGACGGTAGGGCAAGTTCTCTTTGCGGTGTTGACAGGCGTGTATTGAGCTGAATTGGTACCGGTGGGAGAAGCTGAATGAAGCTGTGTAGCAAGAACATTGAAATCTAACATGGTGGCGACCGAGGTTCCTACCACACTAACAAAGCCTAATTTTGGTTAGAAAATTTCATTTCTAAGAACAAGGACTAAGCAGAATCGCATATAGTGAGGACAAAGTGGCATTGTAAAGGGGCTTATAGAGCTTCAGCCTATTTTTAGATCTGAAGGGGTCCGAATCTGGCTCCCCACCACTTGGATTCAAGGGGGCCGATTCAGGCCCTCCATCGCCCGGTTAAGCCTTTCCTTCGGCTAAGATTTTGGAGGATTGAGGGTTCGAATACGGCTCCCTACCACCGATTTAGAGGGAATCGATTCAAGCCCCTCGCTGTGCAACCATGGACTCAAAATCGGTTCCTATACCCCTGCTGGCTACCGTTCGAAAGTCCTCAAAGACCGCCATCCGAATAGAGGGTCTAAATAATAGACAACTCTCAAACGCCTTAGGTTTAATGCTCGAATCAAAATTACCCTGGGCAGATCACTTTTTGGTATTAATGGATACTCCAAAGATTGAAAGAAACAACGAGGGGAAAAGAAGAAAGAGAAAGAACGAGGGAATAAACAGGAGAATAGAGACTTTGATTACGAAAGCTTACGAACTAGGGAAATTCGATGGCGTCGGCGTAGCTTTGACCATTTGTAAGCATGGTCGATATACGGAGATCGCGGCATAAAGTATCGGGAATACAGGGCATTATTTTATGAAGGCCACTAAATGCCCTGTAAGGTCTTACTTTAATCTCCCTGTAGCTAGTCCTAGTCCCCTGTAAGCCCCTATAAGCTTACTAAAAGTGCCCTGAAGGCTTAATATAGGCTTATGCAGCTTGACAGGTACTGAACGCCCCCAAACGCCTATAAATATAGGCGAGTCCACTAATTAGTAGCGAGTAAAGGGGGGGTAATTAGCCCTAATACACATCTCTCTATATATACTTCGTTCTGAATTCTAATTCTAATTAATTAGAAAAATACTTAATACCTTTTGCTTTACTTTAGCCATTATTATGGCTACTTTTGGAGGTTTATTTGACTTCCCTGACTTATTAGATGGCTAATCAGAGCTCTCCTCTCCTCCTGATTCGTTAGATGACGAACGCTCTAATAAGTATACCGAAGATAAAGAGGATGCGTAATATAATTTACTATCAGATTCGGACGATTTAGACAATGATTTAGCTGAACCAGCCCTTCTATTACCCGCTTCGTTAACTGCTTTTATACTTGCTACTCTTGGGCCCAAAGAGCACTCTACTAGTACCAGAATCAAGGCTATTTATATGCTTAAGGACAAGAAGTCTTTAGGACAAATCAGAGAAGCTATAGGAGTACCCAAAACAGCTCTTTATTGACTTATAGCTATGGCTAGAGAGTATAGATGGGTAGAGAACAAGAATATGCCTTTGGAGGTCTCTTATATACTTAATATACCAAGATCTGGTTAACTTGTAATTTCCTCTGAGGTAATTAAGTATGTTTTGAAAGTTATTCTTCAAAATTCTACTATAAGAGGCTTTTCTTATATCATAATTACAAAAGAAGTAAGAAAGCGGGGTTATGAGATTATACCAAGAATAATTTGGAAGGTTCTTATATATATAGGCTACTCTTAATATAAATTAACTATTAAACCTGGTTTAAATAAGCTAAATATAGTAGAGTAATTAGCTTAGTATTTGGAAAGAGAGTATTAGATACTTAAGAAGTAGAAGAATATTATTTTTACGGACGAAACTATAGTATAATTAGGAGGTATAAGAGGAAAGAGAAAAGTATAGAGATTACCTAAAGAAGTATATAATAAGTATTATATAAAATAATATTAGAAAGGCTTTTCTGAATTTATATTCTGGGAATCGTTTTCATATAATAAGAAGGGGCCTTGCCATATATAGGAGAAGGAGACTTCTTAAGAGAAGAAAGAGAAAAAAGCTAATTTGGATATAAGGAATTCATTAATTAAAAAGGCGAATAAATAGAAGTGGGAAAAGAAGTAAAGGAAGTAGCTAAGGGATTAGATTAAGGTATATGAATAAGCTTCTAGAGAGATATGAAAAACTTGGAAGTATAATAAGGCTACTAGTATATTTATAGTAAAGAATAGTTAAGGCGGAATTAATTAGTATAGATATTAAAAGAAAATCCTTGCTAAGAAGCTTTTGTCCTTTATAAGGGAATACCAAAAGAATTAACCTAATATAATTATTTAGGAGAATAATATACTAGTATATAAATCTTATTACCAAGAAGTAATTTATAGCTTATAGAGAATTATGAAAATGCTCTGGCTAGCAAACTTACCTAATCTTAATATAATTGAGAAGGCTTGGTTCTATATAAAAAAGGAAATAATAAAGCGGGGGCTAATAACTAATAGAAAGAAGCTTAAAGCAAGGTGGGAGAAGTACTAGTAAGACTTATCCCAAAGTAAGATTCAGGAGTAAATTAAGGTAATTCCTCATTACGTAAAAGAGATAATTCGTTTAGAAGGGGGCAATAAGTATAAAGAAGGAAGGAAAAAGAGGGAAGAGAAAATTACTATATATTAGAATTAAAGTTATTAAAAAATAATTAAAATCAGAGGCTTATCAAGCAATAGCGGGGTAAGCCACACTTTCAGGGGACCCTTACAGGGCTTATAGGAAACCAGGAATAGCTATAGGGAGATTAAAGTAAGACCTTATAGGGCATTTAGTGGCCTTTATAAAATAATGCCTTGTATTCCCGATACTTTATACCGCTATCTATGTACTATATACAAATTCAAGGTCCATATATCGTGGCCGCTATCTATGGCAGAGATAGTAAGGAAAGCGACGATTTGCTTGAATACACGAGTGCTAATACTTGACTTTTAGCAAACTGCCTATCCTCTCCCAAAGAACATAATACCAGAAGATATCGAGAAGCGCCTTTTCAAAAAAGCAGAGAGAATTTTGGCTCGGAAGAATAAGGAGGAAGGAAAGAATTTTAAGGAATTGGTGTTAGGCACCTGATGCTTAACTTTGCCGGCTCCTGAGACCAGTGAGTATCCCGGGACAGCGGGGTGTCATGGGATCACTATTCCCAGGAAGCCCTATAGTCCCGGGAGCAAGTTTCCTGGGACCATTGTGGGTCGTAGGAGCATACGGGATCCTGATAGTGAGCTGCGAAGAGGTCAAAATTATAATGGATTCGAATACAGAGCTACTATAAGAAATGAAAGCTAATCTCTCCTCTCGTGACATATCTTGCTCGTTTCGATTTTACTACATAGCCTCGAATCAATTTGGGTCATAATACAGACCTCCTGCCCAGACGCGCTACCGACGGCCTCGATCTTTGCCATGAGTTCGAGCTTGTTAAGAGGATCCTTTACTTGGTAGTACTACAAGAGATTAGCCATCACTATATTAAAGATGCCACAGAGAGCCCGGAAATCAGTTATGGGGCACTGCTTAATCTGAGTAGCGAGCCAGTCGAGATTATTATTATTGTTTCCTGATGTCTTATACCTAAACAGAGTCAATAAGGAGAGCCGTTCGCTGCTGGACTTGCCTATACGAGTTTCGCAACGGCTTTACCGCCGATAAGGACAGCACCGAGACCTAGGGCGTTAATAAAGATCATCCAGCGGACAGCATATCGGAGATCTTCCTTGAGAGCTATCTTGATATCGCCCATGTTTAAGGCGGATGAGCTGAAGCCAGTAGCATAGATATATATACCAGGTAGGCATGACGAAGCCGATGATTGGAGGTGTCTGAAGGACGGTAGCCGTTCTCTTCCAGATATTCCTGGAAGTCGCGGAGGTTCCTGATTAGCGATAGTGCCCGCCGCAACCAGTGCAGCTCTGTCTCCACTCTCAGCCTCCGGAGCTCGTGGTAATGATATACTCGCCGTAGCCGCTTGTCGCTACTGAAAGGGTCGCCGTGAAGCTCTTGCACCTTCAGGCCAGCGGCAAGTCGTTCCCAATGATTATTGACGAGCTGGATGAGAGCGGCTCCAGTATTTGCAATGAATTTCTCAAGCTTCTCTTGCGTCTGTATCCGCTTGACTGGTTGTGGAGTCCTTTCTTCCTTGGTCGAGTCTGCTAAGGGAGACCCAGGCCCTGCGTCGCTGGCAGGAGGGGTGTCGGGGTAGAAGGAGGTCGAAGCACGATAAATGCCAGTACAACAGCAGAGTCGCGAGCCGCGGTGGCTTTTGGGGGCGATGCAGGATGCTTCTTGAGACGGGTCGCCATCGTCTAATAACTTCAGGGAGGGTGTACCTTGAAACTCCTGGGGTGTAGGTATAATGTGGGTATTTGGTATTAGGTATTGGGTATGGATGTGGGTATAGGTATTAGTATTTGTATTTAATAGAGGCATTCCAGGTTTGCTTCCCTAGTAGGCTCGAAGATTTTACCTAGAAATAGCCTAATTTATTAAATTTATATAATAATATTAGTCTAGGCTAATAATAAATATATTATATTTATATAGAATTTATAGTATTTATATAATATTAGTATAAAAAACAGGAAAAATAGAAAGAAAATAGAAATACTTAATTAATATTAAAAGATATTTAAATAATTATATAAAATTCTATTTATAAATAATAGTAATTATAATAACTTTATTAATCTAGAATAAGTTATAGCCTATTTAGAAAATATATTTATAAATAATATTATTTATTAGATTATTAGTTTTCTTAAATTCTTATATATATTATTCCTAGTTTTATCTAATACCTAGCTAAAAGTTTATTTAACCTTAATAATAATATAATAAAATAAAGAAAAAAAATTAATAATTATAATTTATAACTTAATTATTTATTTAGCTATTATTAGATATATTTTTCTATAATTAAATATACTATAAAATTATAGTAAATTAAAGGCTTTAAATTAAGAATTCTAATAATATAATTTATAAATCGGGTTTATCTAAATATATATAAGCCAGAATATATCTAATAATAGCTAAATAAATAATTATATTAAAAATATTTGAAATTTTCCGAATATATTAGGGAAATTATAAATCTTTTAGTATTTCTTATTTAGGTAATTAATAGGTAATTTCTTTCTTCTAATAGTCGGACTTAATATTATACTAAAGAGGCCTTTTTTTTTATTTAGAGAAAGTAAATTATTTCGGAAAATAAATTATTTTATATTAGCTTTTTTTACTTTCTAAAAAATAATAATAGAAATAAGCTATATAAAATCTAATTAATATATTTTATTTATAATATTATAACTATATATTATATATTTAAAGATTAAAGTTTAAAATAAAAAAATAAAAATTTATAAATAAGTAAAAGTTATAATTATATATTAAAATATATAATATATAAAATTATTTATTTTTTTATCTAATAAGAAAAAGTTTATATTAGTAACTATATTATATAAATAATCTAATTAGAGAAAATAATTATATTTTTATTTAATAAGAAATATTTTTATATAATTAAAAATATAAACTATTTCTTATTAAATAAAGAAATAAATAATTCATTTATATTATTATTTTATTATTAAATATATTATAGGTTTTAAATTTATAGGTTTTTAATTATATATATATTATTAAAGCTTTTTATATAATAAAGGTTTTCTAAAGTTTTATAAAAGAAATAGAAATTAGTTTTATATTAAATTTAATATTATAGTTTTATAATTTAGTAATTTATTTTATAATTTTATTATTTATTAATAAATATTTTATAAACTAATTTTTTTATTTTTTAAAAAAAGTAATTTAATAAATAATTATATTTTAAAATTTATAAAATATATAATTTTTTTATTAAATCTATTTTTATAAAAGAAATTAATTAAATTAATTCTAATATAAATAATAATAAAAGCTTATTTAATACTTTTAATAAAGCTTTTTAAAAGACTTTAAAAGCTAATAATAATAATTAAACTATTAAAATACTATTATTTAAGCTATAAAATAAAGCTTATATATTAGAATTAAAGTATTTTAATAAAAGTAAGAATTAATAAATATAATTAATTAATATATTTTATAATTAAAATAATATAAAATTATTTTTTAAAATATTTTATAATTTCTTATATTTTATAAAAACTTTATTTATAAGCTTATTTTTTTTAATAATTTCTATAAAAAAAAACCTTTTAAAATAAAAAGAAACTATTTTCTTCTTAATAAAATAAATTTCGAGAATAATTTAAATATTATTTATTAAAAGCTATTATATAATATTCTAAAAATATATCTAGATTTAAAAAACTTTTTAAGATTTAAATATTTAATTTATATTATAGAAAGTTTTTAAAAAATAAAGAACTTTTATATATTTCTAAAAAATAATTTCTAGAATTTAATTTTAGACTTATAATAAATATTCTTTTAAAATTAATTCTATTATAAATATTTTTAGAAACAAATCTTATAATATTTAAAAGGCTATAATAAAGTAATATTTATTAGTATATAAGATTTATTTAAAGTAATTTGAGGCTTATTAATTAATATATATTAAATATTTTAAATTTATTAGTAAAATACTTTTAAAAAGCTTTAAAATCTTTATTAAAAAAATTAAAAAAATAGTTATTAAATTTTATATTTAAATAATTAGTTTTAAAATTAATTAAAATTTATATTTTAAAAGAAATTAAATTCGAACTTTTAATATTATTTTATTTAATTATAAGATTTATTAAATTTTTATTTTTATTTATTAGAAAATAAAATAATTTAAAAAAGTAAAAATAAAGAAATTTAATAAAACTAACTTTATTTTTAAAAACTTTAATTTAATAAATTCTAATTTATAAAACTATTAAAAAAAAAGAATAAGTTCTGAAAATTATATAAAAAAGATTTAAATAATATTTTGATTTCTTTTAAATCTTATTAAAATATAAGTTCTATTTTAAATATAATTTAATTTATTAAATTTATAATTAGAATTATTATTTTAAAAAAATATAAAATATTTTAAATATAATAAATATTAGTTTACTAATAATATATAATACTATTATATTAAAGTTAATAAAGTTAATATTTAGAAATAGAAATTATAATATTATAATATTAATATATAATTTCTAAATTTAATAAATCTAAAAAAGTCTAGTTTACTAGTTAAGTTATTTATAAAATATAAGATTATATAACTATATTCTATAATTTATATTCTATTATTTATATATATAACTTTTAAAGAAATAATTATATTAATATTAAAAACTTTCTAAAAAACGCGAAAAATAATAATTCTTTCTAATTATATATAAATTTCCTAATTTGGCCTAATACTAGATTTCCTAAATATTTTATATATTTATAGTATTTCTAAGGTTTTAGTTATATATAAAAGGCTATAGCCTTTTATATATAATTTATTTCTTTATATTTAATTATATAATATTTATATTAATTAGGTATTTAAAAGTATTTATTAGCTTTAATTTTATTATAAAATTAATAGAATTTAATTCTTTCTTAATTTATTTAACTTCTATAATCTCTTATTATTTATATATTTAATAAAGATATATTATATTAATTATTAAATACTTTTCTTAAATAGTTCCTAATTTAATAAAGTATTTATATAATAACTTCGAATTTATATAAATTATTAATAGTAGTTTTATTTCTAGTACTTTATTAATTATAGATTTAACTAAAATACTTATATTAAAGCTATAAGCTATATTATAGAGTTCTAAAACTAGAATACTTTTAGTAATTCTTTTATATTAAATAAAGAACTAGAATATATTTAATTTAGAAAAAGAAATCTCTATTATTTATAAATAAACTATTTATAAAAATAATTAAATATATTTATTAAGTATTTTTATATTAGTTTCCGAGAATTTAATAGCTTAAGTAATAATTAATAAATTATATAAAGCTTCTAGTTAATAAACTAATATAATATATACTTCCCTAATATATTAGATAATATATTAGTTTTTAATAAAGAAATCTTAATAAATAATACTTTTATTACTTATAATAATAGTATTTTTTATAGAAATAATTTAGAGATTTTTATATTAATATTTTTATATAAAAGTAATTCTAGTAATATTTATATAAATAATATTTTTATTAAACTTGAAATTATAATTAATAATAAAATATTTATATTTCTTAGCTAAGAATTTAATCTTATAAAGCTTTAGTTATTTTATTTTTATAAAATTATTATTTCTAATAAATAAAATATTATTAGTTTAAAAACTAATAATTTTAAAGAATTATTTATTATAAAAAAAATAAGAGTTATAAGTTAATTATTTTATAGAAAGTTTATTAATATAATAGAAATAATAAATTATAAACTAGTAATTTCTAGTTTCTAATATATTATATAATAGTTTTATAATCTTTAGAATTAAATTATTATTTAGATTTAGTTTTCTAATAAACTTATAAAATAAATTAATATAAAAATTATAATTAAATAAAATTATTAATTAGATATAAGTTTATAAAATATTATATATTTCTTATTATTATTATAAGCCTAAATAACTAGTTTTAATTTCTTAAACTTTTTCTTTATATTCTTATTCTTAATTTTATTAATAAACCAGAAATTAAAAATATATATCTTTTTTAGTATTTAAAATCTAGAAATAATCTTAAATATATATTTTTTTTTTAGAAAGCTAATAACTTTAATTTAATAAAAGTTCTTATATAGATTATTATACTAAAAAAATATTATAATATTTAGGGTTTTATAAAAGTATTCTTTATTATATTTTAGTAAAATAGCAAAAATAATAAAAGAAATTATATTTATATTATTTTTAGTTTTATTATAAAATTCGGAAATAATTTTAGATTTAGAACTATTAGTAATAACTTTAATATTTCTTATATAAAAGAGTTTTATAAAAATAAAATAAAATATAGTATTACTATATAATAAAGCTAGTATATAGTTCTTTTTATTAATAGCTATTAGCTTATATAATTTATTCTAATTATTAAATTAATTAGTATTTCTTTTATATTATATAAAAATATTTAAATTTAAGAAAAGTTTATAAATATTAGTAATACTAGAACTATTTCGGGTATTTAGAATATTTATAATCTAGTATTTAGTTTAAAGCTTCTAAATTTCTATTATTATTTTCTTAAATATTACTAATTATTATAATATAATTAGTAATAAAATATTATATTTAGTTATTTAAAATAAAGTATTATAAACTAAAAGAATTAAAATAATACTATTAATTCTAGTAAAATTATTAATAGCTTTAAAAGCTATATAAAATATAGTATTTTTTATTAATTCTATTAATTTTAGCTATAATAATAAAATAAATATATTAAATTAGGCTATAATAGTATTTTAT